AAGAGCAATGGGAGCCTCACATGGTCCCCGCCCAAGGCCACACTATGTGTGCATGCAGCCTCGAGTCTCCAACAGCTGCAGCCCTGGGAGCACCTGTCTAGACAGAGTAGGTGATGAGCCAAGGCCAGCAAGCTGCCAACAAAAGGCACAAATGAGGCGATCGGGAAGCCCGAGGCATTTCATCCTTTCAGCAAATGTCCACTGAAAAATGTCAACATGGGATGCTTCAGCAATCACAGCTTTATTGTTCTGTTCAGAAAGGAATACATTTCTTTATTGAAAATACTGTTTATAAAAAGAATATAGGAGTGTATTAAGTAAGCAGTGAAGATCCTCTCGCTTTGACCTTTGTTCCCATTCTACAGAGGGAGTCACTGTGAATTACATGCTATGTGCTCTTCGGGGCTTTGTGTAGATGAGACCAACATACAGAACAAAACAAAACCCTGTACTGCCAGACGTGGTGGTGCAGGTTTGTGATGCCCAGTACTTGGAAGGCAGAGGCAGGAGGATTGTTTTAAGGCTAACCTGGGCTACATGAGACAAAACCAGCCTAATGTAGCCAAGCATGGTGGTACACCACCTATAATCAAAACACTTAGCCTGGAATGGTGGCGCACGCCTTTAATGCCAGCACTTGAAAGGCAGAGGCAGGTGGATCTCTGTGAGTTCAAGTTCAGCCTGGTCTACAAAAACAAGTTCCAGGACAACCTGGGCTGTTACACAGAGAAACCCTATCTCAAAACTGCCCCCTCACCCCAGAAAAAAAAAAAAATACAGGCTGAGGCAAAAGGATTACAAATTAAAATGCCACAACTAGGTGTGTGTATTGTCTTCTAACCAAAATCCACAATCACAGTCTGCTTGTTCAGTGCACTCAGCTGTCACCTGTCACTCTGAACCGCTGTGAGGTATCCACAGCACAAATGTCAGGAGGGATGGTTCATCTGTGTTCTGTTTTTAATGCCCACACTGCTGCAGTGAGCGACCTTAGACGAGGATCCCTGTACGCAGCTCTGAATGCCCGAGCTATAGAAAGCAGCAGCTCCCCTGGGCGAGGGAGCCTGTATGTTAGAATGCACGGGGAATCCCAGCACAGGTGGAGGTGAGAGGGTCAGGAATTCAAGGTCATCCCTGGCTATATAGCAACGTTGAGGCCATCCTGGGCTATAAGAAACTCCCATCTCAAAAAAAAGATACACCCAAAAAACGTATTTGATCCTGCTAATGGTCTTGGAAAGCAAGTGACATCCCCCCAACCCATACACTATGTTAGTGCCTCAAAGAGTAATCTTAAGGAACAAATTAGCCCAGTGTGGTGGCACACATCTTCAATCCCAGCACTTGGGAGGCAGAGGCAGGCAGCTCTGTGAGTTCGAGGCCAGCCTGGTCTACAGAATGAGTTCCAGCACAGCCAGAGCTACGTAGTGAGACCCTGTCTTGGAAAAAACAAAGGAACAAATGACATCCAAAGCCACGCCCACCTGTACACTTGTCATGTGCTCACTAGAGATTCACACTCTGGTTCTGAAGCCCCAGCAGAGCTCCAGGCTAAGACCCCTCTGTACAGGAAGGGAAAGCCGTGAGCACGCCCTTCTCCCTGAGAGTCACTGAACTCAATCACTGCTCAGCCATCAGGCTAACCTCACCTTCTCCTGTGTGTCCTGCAGGTGATTCAAAAGTACTAACCAAAGATGGCCCTGGGACTGCCACCTTGGAAATGTCACACAAGGAAAGCAGTAATAAAGTGACTATATGACTCACACCCTGGTACGAGTCTGTCTTATTATTAACCAGACACCCTAACCTCAGGGTCCTGGAAACAAAGCCTGTGGAGGAGCCTGGTGTGGTGGTACACACTGTAATCCCAGCGCTCAGGAGGAGTCAGGATGGAGATTTTGAGGCCAGCCTAGGCTACAAAGTCAGAACCCAGCTCAAAAATAAACAAAGCTTGGCACCTCTACCGTCTGAGCTCAAATGGATGTTCATAAAGCAAAGATACTGAAACCAGAAAAAAAAAGAAAGCTAAGTAAAAGTCGGGACAGCTTTAAAACCCCCAGGGGCAGCACCTTCTCCAGGGAAGCCCAGCATCCCACCACTGCAGTCACTGCCGTCAGGGGACAGGTTCACTGGGCGGAAGACGCTGGGAGACAGAGGTGGGACTCAGGATAGCCGAGCTCTGTCCAGCTGTCTCCGGCAGGGTAACCATGGTCCTTCAAGACAGGAGATGATCTGTGGGTGCTCCTGGGGACTCCCGCAAGTCACCTCCTGGGCTGGGACAGGGATCTTAGAAGACGTGGAGAAATGCTCAGAAAATACAAAGGTCTGCTTTGTAGGGAAGAACAGAACAGGAGTGGGGGGTGACACGGGCCAAAGGAAGCCCTTCCTTTGGCCCAAGGTTTATTTTTTAAGAATAAATAATGCGTTAAAGTTAGAATGAATCCTTCTGGAAACTTCACCGAACTCACAGATCCAGGTGTTCACACTGGGCCAGCTGGACTGTGGGTCTGGGAAGGAGAGATGCTGGTGTGTCTGAGCCACAGACCACTGCGGACAGTGGTCCTCCAGTGGGGGCTGTTATGTCCCCTAGGGCACATGTGACAATGTCTGCAGACATTTCTGGTTGGCAGAACTCAGGCGGGGTGCTCCTGGCAGCTTGTAGGTAGAGACCAGAGATGGCTCAAAATACCCTACAATACACAGGACAGTCCCATGACAGGGACCCCACATGTCAACAGTGCAGCAGCAGAGAAGCCCTGCTCTAGAGAGGACCTGGGGGTCACAGGCCACAGTCCCTAACCACAGATGAAGAGGCCAGGTGGCAGCCACAGCACTCTGTTCCTCTCTCTCCACTGCTCTGTATCTCTCACCAACCCGGAAGCTGCTAGGAGCCCGTCTGCCGCGGAAGGGGAAAGAGGCAGCCTGCCCCAGTTCCAAAAACCTGGCTTTGCAGGACAGTCCTGGCCTCAGCCACGTCCAGGCCACGAAGGTTTAGGGGAGGACATTGAGGCAATGAGCCGCCCCAGCCTCATTAAGTTTTAAAAAACAGTTTTTTCCGGAGGAAGTTAAAACAGCCAGGAATCTGCTTATAAATCCCCTTCTCAGAAACAGCATTGGCAACCTGCAAAACAGAACCAGAGGTGGGATTTATGAGTTCAGTGTCCTTGTCGGAGGCCATACCTGAGGGCGAGGGCCACTGAAGGGGCATCTGAAGGAAGGCCACTCCACCTACACCCTCCTCAGGTGGGTTGGGGAACAAACACCTCAGCTACTGTAAAAGAATGGAAACTCAAGTTTTCTGATGCAAAAATTCACAATTCCAATCAGACTGAAAGGCTGGGGTAAGGAAGATGGGGAGTGGGGGGACCCGGAGACTGCACGTGCTGCTCGGCTGTCCCCGTCCTGTAGGGCCCCCCTCAGGACCAGAAGGGACTCCTATAGCCCTGAGGTGTGCACCTCAGCGGAGCAGTGGAAACCCACAGGGCCCTCGTCATTGTGGAGTATTATTTAACTAGGCAAAGATGTGTTTCAGTTGTTTATGCT